CTTCCAAAGGCCAATTATGGAGCAGTAAAGACAATCACATGACTGGTCGAGATCAGAAAGCAGGAGAACGTCAACTTGGCTCAGGGAGAGTCTATTGTTGGCCCCCTGTTTGGTCCTGCACCCAGTGTGTGATCACAGGCACGTCGGACATTGGTCTATTCTGAGACGCTGCAGGAGCACATTTGCTATTTGCATATGCATCAGCTCTGGGCCAATTAAAACGGCATTCTGTTTTATCCCACTGATTGTCTGGCAATGTGTCAGAGACCTGCTCTGTATGTGTGTAGTTGGCAGGGGGAGGATTGGGTAATCTGTTTTGCTGCACTTTAACTGAAGAAATTCAACCACATGATGAATAAACATTGGTTTCCTATGAGTATTAGAATTTTTCGTCTATAGCTATTTAATTCCATCAAACTGTTGATGTGATCCTTTACAAAGAAATAAGATATAATATTACAGTTTTAACACATTAACATGTCTCAAGACATATTCTTGATATTTTCATTCATTAGCTAGCTAAATTGACTAGACTATAAGTGGTAGCTATTGCAATTTAACAACATATGCGAAGCTAGCTGGTTATGTGCATTAATTAAAGACTCAGAAAAACAAATGCGTGTATGATTATTTTTTTTTAACATAGTTTTTAATGTAGTACAAGATTACACTCTTTTAATTTGAAAACTCCAGGCTCATATTTCAGTGTAAACAGAACAAAACTAAGACTTTTGGAAACGAAGGCGTGGCTTCGCCCACATTCGCCCCCCTGATTGGGACTTCTGGATCATTGCGTATCCTTCCCTGTTTCGTCAAGCCCCTACCATATGACCATTACGCTACCAAGATCGTGTACACAACAACATGGAGACTGAACCGCAAGCTTTACTGGCTTTGTTGTCATTCTTAGCAGCCATTGTGCAGTTAAATTCTCAATTTTTTAATACTACAGCTGCCCACATGCACAAGAGGCGAGCTATGATTAGAGCAATCGGCAACAAATCTCATTTCAAGCGGCGTAAGTCCTACATGGAACGCCGGTTTGTTGTGCCTGCTGGTGACTAGAAACCAAGTTACTGTTTACCCTTGTATGCGCATGCCCAGTGTGCATGAATGGTCATGTGACATGCGTATTCGGTCGTATAGTGTGGACGGAGATCGTTTCTGAAACACAGCAGAAACAACAGCGTGAACAAGGATCGTTTTCATTTTAAAAACGCCATTTTAAATCAAAAACTCACTAGTGTAAACAAGGCCTCTGTGTTTAGCTGCTGGTAAGCAGGGCGAGGGTGTGAGCCCCGTGCCGGGCAAACAATTCACACCTCTCCACAATGGCATTGGTACAGGGAGAAAATGGACAGCACGACTTATAAACACAATAAAAATATGATTTGACTACCCCTGTACTTAAACGAATACATTATCAAGGGGTGTGGTTAGGTGACATCCAATCAGATCAGCTCATCTCATACCACTTAAAAACCAAGTGCTGGCCCATGGCTCAGTGCTCTGCATTTTCAGAGTTATATACAGTTAAATTGAGTGATTTCACACTGATTTTAGTTAAAAATAATAACATACAATATATGTGTTGTAGGTCTTCATGTGCACTTTTGTAGCTGTTCGCTCGCTTGTGTGTGGACTCAAGGACATAGCAATAAATTTGGCGAGTCTGGTATTTAATTACATTGGCTAGACATTTTATTGATTCTATTAAACATATGATGTTCTCTGCTTTTATTTCCAGCTTATATCCTGCGCCAGCTGTCGGATTTCGCATGTAGTAGCCACAGTTAAATTATTTTTCTTGTGACTGATAGAATAATTAAATCTGTAGTATTGAGTTAGTACTTGGGTAATGTTGCCAGATCATTTATGTTAAAGTGTGACAAGTAGTGTACATTCACAAAGAGGGTGAGAGCAATTCTCAGAGAAAAAATTGAAAAATTACCACTTCGCAGTCAGATTTCAAATGCCCCACCCCTTGTTGTGCTGCTCCACCCATGTAGGCCCAGGTGTTTATTTATCCAGGCAAGAACAGGAAAAATGTGTTTTTTCCCCCAACTGATTAGTAATTATTTGTTCCACAGAAAAGAGGAGTTAAGCTTAGTTAGTGATGGATGACTTCACATGATTGAGAGATACAGAGAGCTGTAAGGAGGAAGAAATGGGGGTTTTCCTCCTCTTCCTCTAAGGTCTCTTTCCAAGTCCTCACCAGCCTGTCTGGAAAATAAGTGTGTGTTCCACCCCCGTTCTGCCTCCTGACCCCAGCGCTATCTGCTGCGCACTCTTGCTGTGACTTTTTCCGACATAAAGTTCTATCGTGAATATCTTATTAGTTAGGCTATATCCTGTGCTTCTCATTTTTCCTGCTCAGTATGTTTATTCATGTGGAGAAAAGTGCCTAAGGTGGATTTTGGGAATGTGTGTGAGTGTGTGTAACAATGTATGTCTTTCTATGGGGCAGCAGGTGAAGCAGATGAAGACGAATGGCCATTTGCTTGTTGTTCCATGATTGTGTGAGCTGGAGGTGAGATGGAGCTTATAGACTTGTTTATGAGCAGGGTGGGTTAACTGGATGAAGATTTATTCTCGTGTAGTTTGGGATTTTTCGGCAGACAGATAAATAAATGGAAACTTGGAGCATTTGTCACCACTGGGGCCAAGTTGCTGTGTGTAGTAGCAGGGGATCATGCAGAGACCTTTAGGTCAGCACAGCCTGCCTGTGCTTCATCTACAGATGTGTGTGTGTGTGTGTGTGTGTGTGTGTGTGTGTGGTGTGTGCAAACATTGGTTAAGTATATGCATGGCTGATTTTTACCCACAAAGATGTTCAGCGTTCTGAATACTTGAGCTTAATGCCGCTGTTCTTACTCAAGCACGAGCGATGCATGTTAATACACTTCTGGGCAATGCTCTCAAGGTTAAAGAGCAGTTTTTCCCCCCATTTTAATTGCCTCTAGAATGGTTGTGTTCGTGCGCATGTGTGCGTGTGTGTGTGTGTGATCCGAATGCTTTCTCAGATCCCTCAGGAGATTCCGTGCACCTATCAATTCAATCCTAAATTACTGGCAGCGGTGATAAAAGGCTTGCCTCACGTCCTTTAACTATCCGTAAAGCATCACAGCGCTTCAAAGTGAGCGCAATATCTAATAGATGTTTTATTTGGAAGAGGTAGGAATTTTCCCCTAACCACAGACAGAGGAGGGCATTTGATAAGGACTTTGTGTCATACTTAAGATGCAGCAGTGTTAGTGTTTCATAGCGTCTAAGGAAAACTGCTCCCTGTACTTAAGCCTTCCATTGAAAACTTTAACGCCTACACAGATATACAGAAACACTCAAAACTTCGCAGCTGAATGCAGAGAGCAGAGACGGTGCGCACATCCAGTCAAAGAAGTTTAAGCATAGCTGAATCATTCTCAATTTCCTGCCTTCATGTGAAAGTGAAAATTTATGGGGGTTTTTTTTGTTTTGTTTTATTAAATCAGATGATTCTGCAGATCTGCTTAAAATAAAGAGCCACCGTACTACTACTTCTGTTCATTCTTCCCTATATGAATGGTTAATAACAGACCTGCACAATATGTTGTTAATCGTTAATGACTTTTGTGATATCAATACAGCAAAAACCAGTAATATTAAAATATAAAAAATCCATGCTTGAACTGAAAAAAGACAGGAAAAGGAACATTTGCACCATTTCAGATAGGGCTGGGCGATATCACAAAAATATCATGATACTTAAGGACATTTCAAGGATGTATGATACATATCACAATATATAATTGAACAAATATGTAATTTGATAGATAGAAGATAGATGGACAGACAGACAGACAGACAGACAGATAGATAGATAGATAGATAGATAGATAGATAGATAGATAGATAGATAGATAGATAGATAGATAGATAGATAGATAGATAGATAAACAGAATTTTTTTTTAACTGTCTTTGAATGTATTTTTTAAAAACATACGAACACAAACACATTAATAAAGTCTGGCAGTGGTAATCGTGAAAACTCAGATGGATGTAAAAAAAAACAAAACAAAAAAAAAAACCACAACACTACATTTTCACGTTTGAGAGAGGTCCTTATTGTTACCATTAAAATGTGTTGAATTGAAATTTTAGGCCTATTTAATCATTTTAGGTCTCTTTCGAATTAAATTGCTGGTACTACCCCTAATAAATACAGTTAACTGGTGTTAAGGTCACATAATGGAGGCTGAGATGGAAGCAAGTGTGGGTAAAGGCAGTTTAAAGAGAAGACAAATCCACAGGGTTTGGCAGAAATCAATAACCATAGATAGGCAAGGGTCAAACTGTCATACAAACAATCCAAACTAGGCAAGGCAGAGAATCAAAGTCGAGGGAATAACAAAATAAAATAAAAAACCAGCGCAACGGCACAGGATAAAGGCTTTGTAACCGCCAGCAACAAGTCAACTGAGCGTAATACTTCGCAACGGCTGTGTGTGAGAGTCTCTTAAATAGTGTGGTGTGATTGAGAACAGGTGTGTGTGATTAGTCCCCAGGAGAAGGTGACCTGTCTGTGTGTTCTGTTGGGAGTTGTAGTTGTCAGCCATGTTTGTAATTCGTGGTGCATTCTGGGAAATGGAGTTACTGGTTTGCTGTGACATGACAGTTAATTGTATACTTTTCTAATCTTAGCTATGAAAAACATACACTGCTAGATTTTATTTCCTATTAATGATGTCAGGCAATGTCAGTTAATATCAACACACCTGTCCAAATCCTTCCAGATTCAAATGTTGATTGGCTCATCTGTTTTATTGGGGACTGCATTTTTGGTGAATTTTTCAGTGCTAACTCATACTCGCATCCCCCAATGTTAAATCACAGAGCTGCAATTAGTTCACCTCTTTAACTAGAAATGCTACAGAGTATTGAAGCATGAGGTTATGAAATGTCACCAGAACTTGTGAAGAAACCACACTCTTTTTTTTAAGATCTTTATCTAACTTTCACGGGCCACATGGTGGCTTAGTGGTTATCACATCCGCCTCACACCTCCAGGGTTGGGTTCGATTCCCACCGTGGCCCTGTGTGTGCAGAGTTTGGATGTTCTCCCCGTGCTGCGGAGAAACCCCAAGGAAATCCTCCGGTTTCCTTCCCGAGTCCAAAGACATGCATGGTAGGCTGATTGTGTTTGAATGTGTATGTGATTGTGCCCTGCGATGGATTGGCACCCTGTCCAGGGTGTGTGCCTGATGCTCCCTGGGATAGGCTCCAGGATTCCCCATGACCCTGAAAAGGATTAAGCAGGATAGCATATGGATCTCACTTTCATATGTGTTTCATTTGATCAATAAAATGCGTGATTGATACGCCAAACCACCCGCTTGTCTCTGTCCTTGGATATGGCCAGACTGAGTTTCTCTTACGGTTCATACTATTGGCATTTCTGTCCATTTATAATTGCTACTTTAAAAATGTCCTCTCCATAAACTGGGGAATTTTGTGCAATCGTTGTTCAGGCTATTCCTACAAACCACATTTGTATAAACATTATAAGCTGTTGGCCTGATTTATATATATAGCGAGCGCCATCTGTCTGGCTGCATTAATTTGTCGTTAACTGAAAATGACCTAAAAGTGCCATGCCGTGGGGCAGGAGAGCAGGATGCAGTGAGAAGGAAAAGACAGAAAAGAAGTCATCAAGCTCACATGAAGCAGCTGTGTGGTTTGCACAGGAATCCAGAGGATGGCGGAAAGTGGGAGAGCGAGAGACAGACAGAGAGAGATTACAGAAACAGAGAATAAGGGAAGGGGAGCTGGAATGAAGCATCAGGAGGAAATGAGGAGGGAAAAAAGCGAAAGAAATAAGGAGGAATGAAGAGAGACGCATTTAAGTCGAGAAAAGTTGTGGGACTTATTGAAGTTAAGGACAGCTTAAAGACGCCAAAGCTTCAGACACAGAAAACCACAGTGATGTGTTTGTGTGTGAGAGAATGCGAGGTGCAATAAATCAAGTGAAAATCGTTAAATGTTGGTGAAGATTTAGAACAGCGCAGATTGGCAGCATCTGTCTAGACACACACACACACACACACACACACACACACACAGAGTGACACACTTACCCACACCTGCAGCAGCTGCCTGACACCCTGAAATCATGTGTGTTCTCACACTGACTCAATTACAGCCTATGAGACTATAGTGCATTATTAAGTGGCTTTATATGAGAGAGTAAACAGCCTCCTTTTGCACCATTTAAACATGACTTTACGCATGAACACACAACCCTGCAGCATGAACACTGTTCTGATGAACTTCAGTCCAACCAGAGAGTAAATCAAATCTATATATTCTGTTTTACACTAGGAGTTGAGAGTGTGTACATTTGAGCTGTGTACTGGCAGAGTAAAATTAGATTTGTGCGGTTACAATGTGTGTTCACTGGACGTTGCTATCACTACTTAGCGTATTTTGGAGTAGGTCGAGAATTGACTTGTGGTATAGAAGAAGACATTTCAGAAGTCAAACAAAGATTCAGCAGTTCTGGATGGAAAATTCCACATGTTTAAGCTATCATGAAATACATGATTGCTATGGGTGTTGTTAGGATCATCTGATTCAGCAAGAGATTTGTCTCCTATCTTCAGTCTCATGTGTTAGATCGTGTATGTCATAATGGTACGATTTTTCGATAATAACCAAAACAGGAAGGCAGAACAATAATTAAAAACCATTAAACAGTCAAAGGTCACGTGATGAATTTACATGAATACATTCCATTGATTGTCACATGTGTAATTAGAAGAAAGGTCTGGTAATGAGAGTCTGGTGTCTGATCACGTGAAGGAGTGGAATTGTTCTAGGTGCTTGGGTTTTAGTAATGGTATTAGCAAGAAAAAAGACAGTTAATCCAGTGTTTACAAAATTACTTACAAGTACAAGATAGTGTAGTGATAAGGCAAAGATGTTAGGGTGGGTTTTGTTGGTAGAGCACAAAGCACACTGTTGTTGACAGTCCTGCCGTATAAGGAAGGGTAATGTGGTTTGGTTCTCTCTTTCTCTTTTTCTTGTTTATTTTGACAAAGGACCATCCTCCATAAAGACCCTGTTGAATATGCTGTATTCATTATGGTTTGATTACAGTACACAAAAAGCATGTCAGCATATTGCCAGTGAACACCAACATCATGAATGCTAATATTGAAAGACAGCTAATTTAATGTTGAGTTAGTAGGGATGAAATGGAACGTGGCACTTTTATGTCTAAAGTGAAGTTCTTAGTAAGAACGCCAAAGAGCTAGCTCCTGCCATAAATTTGCAGGATATTTACTAACGGATTTATAATACTGGTGTAACCTGTTCGCTTTATTTGACTGAGAAGGCACTTTCTTAGAAATAAGAACAAAGATGGAAACATTACATGTCGTGTCTTGAAGTTGTAAATACATCCAGGCTTAAGGTTGAGCAATGTGTGGATATGAACACAATGTAGATGCGAACTTCATATGAATGGGTTGCTTGGGTTTTTGAATTCTCAGGCTTTGTTAACAAAGTATTTCTTGATACTTTCCACTGGCTTGGGGTACGACGTCAGGTTTATTGACTCTTCAGAGAAATGCAATTTCCAGTAGATCACTATCTTCCGTTTGACAAAAACAACATTTTCGTCTAAAGTATTGTACGAGCTGGGTGTGTGTGTATTTGGATTTTTTTTATTATGATTCCATTTCTGAGTAAAAAGCCACTTGAGTAGCACATTTTAATTAGAATTCTAGTCTACACACAGAAACACAAGGCAGTAGATTATAAAGCTCAACTTGGCTTTTGTTCTGAGTCTACGAAGGCTTTCCAGTGATCGCAAATCTCAGAATGCATGCAGCTTTCTATCCAATCCTACAGGCCTTTTGACCGCAACTTCAAAGAGCATACTGTATGAGAGAACACGCAGGACCAACATCTATTATCAATTTTTCATGATTTGGTTTCTCTCCGCTTTTTTCCTGCGTTTCATGCCGAGAATATGCATCCCGGCACCCCCTTTACTGCCCCAAACTCCATGAGGAGCCCAACATGTAAAAGAAACTGTACGATAATCAATTTGAAGGAGAGAGGTGTGAAATTATTCATCACAGTGAAGAAAGGAGGAAAGAGTATGAGAAGGAGGAGCTCTTGTGAAGAGAAAAGAGTTGCCACTTGAGTGAACATGAGAGTTTTGAGGGCTACAAAAGTATCAATCAATATATTTGGAGCACATTCTCGTTCTCAGAGCCCTCTGTCCTGACCCCAGGGGTACGAAAATGTCATGTTTGACCTTGCCTTGCATTGACGTGACTTGACTGTGTGTGTATGTTACTTGTAATTGATGAGGGGCAAATAGGGCATGTGAATACACATCAATCCCAATCTACTTTCTAGGTTTATTTCAGAATCCCCTCACACTTTTGTGGCCCAGATATCACCGACTGCCTCAATCAAGCTGAAATGGTTCTCAAGCGACTGAATCCACTTTGGTCTGGATGATAGATGTAGGAGAAGTTTCCCGAGATGCTTAAACCAAAAGCCGAACGACAGGAGCCGCACCCAGCAACGATGGGAGAACATCTCCAAAATTAGAGCAGCAGGACACACCAACTAATATGAACCATGTGTTTTCTGGCACTAAATGTAGAGCTTCGCTGCACTCTTATTTAGGGGAAAGTGTATAAAGAGAAAGAAAGAAAATGGTGGAATGTTACAAAAAGTATAGAAGAATAAAGTGAGCGCCTTTGCCTTTTTGTGTCATAAAAGAGTTCTCGACCTGAACGGATGATGAACTGCAGAATTGCCTGATTTCCTTCTACCCGTTCTTTCTCCTCTTCTAAATAGCTTTTGCTTCACTCAGCTGCATAAAGGTTTTTTTTTTTTATCTGAGAGCTTCTTGGTAAGAAGTCACATCACTCCAAACTCGAAACTGACTTTTCACTGTTTCTCTGAAAAGTAGATGGTTTTAGGCACTCAGCCATGTACCACTGGTGTCCTCGCTGAACCCTGTCAGTGGATTTGTGTGGGACGCCTCAGTGCCACTGCTGTGCATGTTCTGATATCTCTGACGCTGCCAGCTTTTCATGCTGCCTGTTATTTGGCTGTCCCTGAGATGTTCAGTCATAGCAGACATATGAGTTATGTACTTAATGGGCAGTTGTGTGTGGACAAATCTTGGCAGAAGCCGCTTTTGCAGATGATCACGAGGCTGTCTTTAGCATGTCTTGTGATTTGGATTGAAGTGAAACAGGCAAAGAGGGGAGGAAAAGAGAATAAGGGCTTCTAACTTTCTCCCACTTTAACAGGATATGATTTTGACAGCTCTAAAATATGCCACCTAGTCCAAGCATCCTTTCGCTGACTCCCAGTCTGTTGGCGTGGGCTTTCTCAATGTTGATACTCGATATGGAACATGCTGCAGTTATGGATGAGTGTTTTAGCTCTGGAGCATAAAAAGCCATTTCACATTCCCCATTTACGCCCAGATTTCCAGCGCTGATGATGACTGGTTTAAAAGTTGAGGGAATAACCCATTTCATGCAGCTCACACTGATACGATTGCATTGTCTCAGGGAGGAAACCTACTAGTGCAGTCATCCAGAGAGGATAATGCATTTGCCAGACAAAAAAATATATAAATATGCGTAGACAGGCACATTCCAGAAATAAACAGCTTCGCACACCATTGCACACACCCATGTACACATACACCCAGCATACACACCACATATCCATACATTTTACATAAGTGGAACACATGGTGCATTACTGTTTGACATTTGCTTGCGTGACCTTTCCACGTCTCCACCGAGGATTTAGCAGGTCCTCCTGGTGTGTAGAGCAGCTAAGATAATAGCTTTGCTCTCGTTTCTGTTTTAAATGCTAAAGGCCTGGGCACATGGATCACTGAGCGAAAGCACGTGATAGGCTGAGATGCAGCTGATTTGGGAAGCTGGGTTACATGCCGGGTCCGTGTGTTTGGTTCCTGTCACTGATGGGCTGATCAAAACACAATGGGAATTAACCAACGCATGCTTGACCTTATCAAATAATGCCCTTCA